ACTTCTCAATGCTAAACTCCAACTGAGTTTAATACTTATAAGAGTGAATCACAAGTTAAATACTCTGATTTCTTTAACTTGGACTTTGAACTCCACCAAGTTATCTTTACTTTATAATATGTTTGGAACTCACTGAGCTTCGCTTAGCTTTTTATTTTCAAAGCTATAATTCTATGGAAGTTTCGAAGCTGCTAAATCCGCTAAATCCACTAAATCTGTTAAATCCACTAAAGCTACTAATTACCATTACGGTAAGGATTGTCTTTCACTATTGAATAAGTACTAACTAACTTAGATTAGATTCGACCTCAGCATACGAGATGAACCAATATTCACCCGATTGGTTACATCTAATATGTATCCAACCCATCAAAAATAGAAAATTCTAGTACGAGCAACGATTTACCCTTTTACAACAGACAGCGCTAATGCTAAGGTCAGAGTGTCTACACGTGCTTTCTCAAATATCTATCAAGTTTATATGTACAACTGCATTTACACGATTAGAGAGAATTTACTAAGAATATATAACAATACCTAATACTATTAGGGTAATATTAAGGTGACTATGGTAATACAAAGTCAGAATATAAATGATATCTATAAAAGTGGGATTTATTAAACAGAATTATTTTTACAGTACCCAGGTTGAGATATTAAAAAACCGTAAATAAAATTAAAATCCAAATTCATATTACAAAAAGCTATTAGTATCAGGAAATCCGATTATATAAGTTTACTATATGGCTAGAAAAAAGAAATGAATTTGACAAAAAATTCTTTACAAAAACTCGAATATCTCGTGAACTATCGGTCAAAATCACATGATCTTGGCACCATTCGATTCGTCTTATCGAGACGAACCGATAGTTCACGAGATATTCGAGTTTTTGTAAAGAATTTTTTATACATATCGATATCTTCTAACATATACGTAATTAACCTCAGTTTGCCGGCGCAGTTTTTGTTTATCACGTGACGTCATTGTACTCGTGACGTTAGAAAATATTTTGGCGGAGGCACGTGACCGGTCACGTGACCGAAAAAACCTAAAATTGCGCCCCACTAACCAAGCCACATGACGTAATTTTTACAACATTACGTCATCTAATAAAACCTTATTACATAATTTTTTATAATTTTTGCTAATATCAAATGACTGACTCTGGGGGTGTCTAATAAAAATCCCAGGGGGGGGTATAATGAGTTAATATTTGTCAGCCCCCTAAGCGTGAGTTTTGGATTATAGTTATTGTTGGCAGATTTAATTTATTGAAATATTACCGACTAAGCTGGCTTAGCCGTATCAAATTGAGGACAGTTTAAAGCTAGGTAGCATTTTTATATACGTCGTGTGACGCTTAATCCACAAATCAATTAGCAAACTTAAAAAACTAACTGGCTTTAACTCCAAAATTATCGACTCGGCTAAGCGTATAAATTTTATTCACTAATCAAGTTGGGGAGGTGGAGGTATCTGTGCACCTGCACTTCCAATGCCTGCTCTTCCTCTAAGTGGTATTGCATTTGAATTAGAACCAATTGACCCACGACCTAATTAATATTGTTATTGTAAATAGTCTTTGTAAATAGCCTTGTTCAAACTCTATAAAAATAATAAATAAAATGTACTAACCTCTACCACGACCTCTTCCGTAACCACGACCCCGCCCACCGGATCTGCCACGCCCTCTACGTATCATGCTTCGTGATTTCCTGAATCTCGAGTTCTAAATAAAATAAAGTCAATCAAATGATAACCTTCCTACATCTCATAAATTATAAATCAATAATGACCTGCATCGCTAAGTTCATCAGATTGTCAGGGACCTGTTGACCAGATGCTTCTAAATTTCTCACTAGGTCCCCAGCAAACTTATCTTCTTTTTGGGTGATAAGTGTATAAGCGGTACCTTTCTCTCCTATATAAAATAATAAATTTATAAGATTATAAGATATATTATTTCGATCCTAGTTCAAATAAATTTATTATATATTACCCGCTCGGCCTGTTCTACCAATCCGATGTACATGTGAATCTATGTCACGTGCGATATCATAATTGACGACGGTTTTGACGGTCTTTATATCAAGTCCCCTTGCTAAATTGTTTATTAAATTTCAATAGAGGAGTAAAAACTAATAAAATAAGAAAATCCACTAACTCATACGCACCAGCTACATCAGTCGCAACCATGATTGGAAATTTGTTATTTTTAAAATCTTTCAATACTTTGTCACGATCGGCCTGCATCATATCGCCATGTAATGCTCCACCTATTTTTATTTAAAAAAACATAATATTTATTATCAAACAAAAGTACTTGGAAAATGAATTTTAAACTTACATTCATAACCGACTTGATTTAAATTGCTTGACAACGCTTCAACGCCATCTTTGCGACTGACAAAAATGAGAACACTACCCTCTTGATAATAGAAAATGAAATATTACCTTAAAAATATCGATTCAACTGATTAATGCAGACAGAGTGAAGCTTACCAACACAAAATGATGCTAAATGGCTCATTAACCAACCCCACTTGTATCCATCATCAGTCAAAATTTCTATCCTTTGCGTAATATCAGTATTCGCCTAAGAATTTATTCACACGGTTAAAATTATTGAAGTATCATATTATATTGAAATATAAAAATTATTAATATGTGAAATGTACCTGGCCAACGCTACCAATGGAAATCCTTACTGGTTCAGTGGTCACTTCGCGAGCTAGAATCTCAACTTTTTTGGGGAATGTAGCACTAAACAATAACGCTATATGATATTCGGAAATGAGAATATTCGAATATTCCTATATAAAGGTTAAAAATTACTATAATAATTTTTGATCCATACTTTGCCTATCTGGTCTAATATTGTCACAAATGGAACGGACTTGTGGTTCTTGAGATAGTAAATTATATATAACAATGAATCACATTGTATTTTTCTCAGTTTAAGATTGACAATATGTAAAATTGCATGCTACATACCAAAGCCAAGATCAAACATTCGGTCAGCTTCATCAAGGACTAAGAAGCTAACTCGTCGAAAATTCGTCGCTTTCATTTTGACCATATCAATAAGTCTTCCCTAATTTCAAAATATAACAATATATATTAAAATTTGTTTATTAAAATTTTAAACATTAAAATAAATAATATAAATAATGAAACCAATTTTATTTTTACTCACCGGGGTACCCACTAATATCTCTATTCCACCAGGTCGGAGTTCTTTGAATTGATCCATTTTCGAAGCACCTCCATAAACTGCTGCAACTCTGCATTGGGTAAAGCAAGTATTTTGGGAAGGAGCAGAGAGAGTAGTGTGTGCGTCGTTTTTGATTCCATTCTACCAATATGGAACTAAATTTTATATTTTGATTTCTACCTCAGACCGTAACTCTTTGCAAATTTTTTGGCTTCAATGTATATCTGGCTGGCCAATTCCCTTGTCGGCGCTAATATTAAACCAATTGGCCCTTCGCCTATTTTAAACAAGTACAAATCCAATATATATGTTTAATGCATATATATATATATATATATATATTTAAAAAAAGAATATGTATATATATGTGTGTGAAATTATGCCCACCTTTATGTAATTCTTCTTGATCCATGATATGTATCAACATGGGCCAAATAAAAGCGGCAGTTTTACCGGAGCCTTATAGAATTATAAAGGAAAATTGGTTAATTGAATTCATAAAAGTCTTTATAACTAATCAAAATAATAATAATAACGTCCACCTGTTTTTGCAATACCAATAATGTCTCTTCCGGACATTGCAACGGGTACTGCCTGATATATTAAAATATTTAAAGTTTTGTTGAGGTTTAACAAAAAAACTAACAAAAGTGCTATGTTGTAATACCTGCTTTTGAATTCCCGTTGGTTCAGAATATCCATGTTTAATAATAACGTTCAGTAAAGCCTCGTCAAACCCAAAGTGTGCAAAGGAAATGCAAGGCTTTGCTACATCAGCACCAGATACATGCATATCTGTGAAAAATAAAAAAGAAAAATAAATGGTTTGATTATATCTTTAAATTTAATATTGCATTCTAAAATCAAAAATCACCAAGTTCTCGGCGTATTTCCTTGACACGTTCATCGGATAACTCGGCAATATCTGGATGTTCTTCATAAAAAAATTTCTCAATTTCTGGATATTCAATTTGAGAATGATCTATTGTATAACAGTTTGATTATTATTCTTATATAAAATTTTGACATAAAAATTAATAACTACGCAAAATGGCATAGACCAATTTCGCGACAATTATTTTTCTGACGGCCATTTAGTCGACAAAGTTGTATTGTAATAGTTTATAATAGTGTTAGCTAAAGACAGATTGTCCACGAAATGGCTGTCGGCAAATTTTACCAAAATCCTGCAAACCGCATATTTACCAACGGCTGGGAGTGGTTCAATGTCTTTGCGCTTTTGTTCCACAACTGGATTATCATCAGAGTCGTATCTATAGTTACGTATTTTGTCGTTAATACTAGCAGGTTAAAATTAAATAGGTCATATGTATAGTCAAATTTCGTACTCAAGTTGTGCATCAATAGCCTTCGCAGTAGCATACACTTCCTCATCCGAATTCACATTCTACATTTTAATGTACATCAAATATCTATAAAATAAACTAAAATGTGGATATTGCTGGTGTTACCTCATCCTTTTCAATTGGTCGTTGACTTTTACCGACTTCAATTCCTTTTTTCTTCATATGATTTACATAACTTTCAACAAAGTCTTCATCTTCAATATCATCTCTACGAATCTAAATTAATAATGATATGATGATTATCCAACCATTGCCGGCATTAACATCGTAATGAATCCCAATAAATGATTCGTACTTTTTCTTGTATAGATTTGCTTTGACTTTCTTTTTGAACTTGGCTATCAATATCAAGCATAAAAGCATCGAGAGGATCGTCAATTTCATCGTCCTTTTGCACATCCAGTTTATTATCAGGCATATTCTCATGAATATTAGTGACATTCTTGTTAAAACTAAAGCCCTGAGGCACAAATCCTCGAATTCCTAATATGTTTGCACCCAATAATTATTTAACGGCCATTAAAATGCAGGTATAAATCGTTACTAACCGGTTGAAGTCCGAGGAGGTGGAGGTCTATCATCTTCTAGATCACCAACATAATCTTCATTAACGTTGGATAAATTACTTGCTCCATCTTGTTTATCAAAGTCTTCATCTAAGTCATCGTCTAGTTTTACAAGTTTTCGTTTTTTTGGTTGGGAATCTTCATCGGAAAAGTAATCCAATGCCGTTGGCTTTTTATGAGTTTCGGCTTGTTCTTCCGGATCAAGCAATGATTTGGACTTGGCTGCTGAGCCCTGCGAAAATCCGAAAGCAAATGGCTTTAAAGGTCTCTTTGAATTCATGATTTACGTATGTACGAAGAAAAACTATTGTTTCTATATCGTTTTATATCCAATTTTTTGCTGAGTTTTTTTTATTGGCTATTAACTGTTTCAATTGTATTAGGAGCATCATGTGAATAAACGGGTGACCAATAAAAAAGAATTTAAACAGTTGGATATGCATTTCTTTTTTTTTTTTAAAAAAAAAACAGCATTACGAAGATGACTTCTAATGGTTCCACAATTACTAAGGATGGACTTTCAAACGTTAACGTAACTGCAGCTCTTGACGTTGAAGGTAACGTTCCTCTGGAGAGTGTTCAACTCGATGGACTGGTAATTGATCAAACTTTACAATTATAATTTATGTTGTCCAAAATGAAATTTTACCTAAATACTCATTTGTTCAGGTAGTTTTAAAAATAATTAAACATTGTCGAGAATTTTTTCCTAGTCCAGTTACTGGTCAACTTCTCGGGCTTGATGTGAATGGTGTCCTGGAAGTGACTAACTGCTTTCCTTTCCCTGGATCAAAGCCCGATGACGAGAATGAAATTGTAGATGGTTTGTTTGAGAACGATCTAGGGCAATCTCTCATAGTTATTTAAAACCGCGAGAAATAATACCCTTTCTGTATTCGTTGTTTGTCTGCAGGTGCTCGATATCAAGTAGATATGATGCGGTGTCTCCGCGATGTCAACGTAGATCATAATACTGTTGGATGGTATCAATCGACATATCTAGGATCTTTCGTAACGCATAAATTGATTGAGACTCAATACAATTATCAACAAACATTTAACAACAAGAGCGTGGTCATTGTGCATGGTATGATGTGAATCACATTCGAAAATCACATCAAGGAATTCTAATAACAATTTTATGTGTACATTAGATGTTTCTCGGTCAACACATGGAAATCTATCTCTCCGTGCTTTTAGATTTACTCAAGCGTTTATGGAGGCACAGAAAGATGGAAAATTTACCACCGAATCACTTATAAAGAACAAACTCACTTTTTCCACTATTTTTGAAGAACTTCCCATTACGATTAAAAATTCCCACTTAGTGACTGCACTTCTTCACTCATTGGATGATTATGAACATGTTATTCCAAAAGCTTCCTCGTTAGATAAGGAGACTGTAGTTGGTCCTTTGACCCCCAATTTTGATACACTGGAATTAAGCCTCGACCCATATATTGAAAAAAATTTGGAATTTTTATTGGAGGCAGTAGAAGAACATAGTCAGGAACAAAGCAACTTTGCATTTTGGCAAAGAAGCGTTGTTAGGGAGCAAACTAAGATGCAGGCTGCTCTACAAAAGAGAGTATGTATTTTAACAATTTTATATTTTATAACATTTCATTCGTCAAAATTTAATGACTTTGTTCATTTTAAAAAGAAACAAGAAAATACACATCGTATTTCTTCTGGGCAGGAGCCTCTTCCGGAAGAAGATATTATAAAGTCGTTTAAATTTCCACCTGAGCCATCAAGATTAGATTCTTTATTAATTACCTCTCAAATTAATAATTATTGTAAACAATTAAATCAATATGCTGGACCAACACTTGGAAAACTTTTTGTGGCTGGAGAATTTCAAAAATAAAGTATTTCGAATTTATTGTTTTATTGCATAAGTTTATACAGTTTTATCAGAACTATTTATTTCCTTAATATTTTCACCTTTAGACTTTGATGAAGACGCATTTTTTTCACTGTAGATAAATTTACGCGAATCCAGTTCTAATGTAACTGGTCCCTATTAGATTTAAAATAAAAACGTTTTAGTCATAATGTTTCTAAACTCGATTACAAGTTAATGTAATGATTTACCTCATTTACAAGAGAAACATTCATCATAGCTCCAAAAACTCCATCTTAAATATTACATCCAAATAAAAATATATATCTTGTTAGCAGTTTGAACACCATAAATTACTGTGCTTACAAAACACGATACCTTTAATTCTATCTTCAAAATACTCCTGTTTTATTCTATTTATAAAATTTGCATACATTTCCTTCGAAAATTCCGTTTTCATAGAACGATGAAAATCGGGCTTGTTCCCTAAAATATATGAATTGTAATGTTTAGCGTTATTGTTATATTTAATTTTTTAACGCGCAAATGCAAGAATATTAAGATTATCATGCCTTTCGTTACATCTCCGTATAAAGTGAATTGGGAAACTTTTGGTATATCAAATTTTATTACCATTACTGAACAAATCGGTACTTTACAAATTATAGATAATATACCGATACCATATACTACTAACCACATAAAATTTCTAATCCCATGTCTTTAACACTTCTTGCCCACATCTTTTTTCCAGTTTCATCTTCAAACACTCGAACATTAAGAATTTTTTTTATAATATACTCTAAATCCTCTTCAGTGTCATCAGCTGCAATGCCAAGAAGGACGCAAAGCCCTCGATTGATCGACGAAACTTGGCTGCCATTTACTAACAAATGTTAGAACCTACAATGATTTTAGCCTTGTGCAGATTCATACAAAAAATATGTTACTTGTAACGCTAGCATTTAGAACTCGTTGAAGTACCGCGCGCATTCTTTTCTCAACTTCAGTATTGCTATACGTATAGATTTAATATCTAAAAAAATGAAGATAATCTATAATTTTGGCCAATCAAAGTTCTTGCCAATCAATAAATAAAATTCATACGCGAAACTCGTCTTCTAGTACTAACAAACAATGAGTACGCCGGATTTACAAATTATCCAGCAACGTATCCAAGATACAGTTGAGGTTCTTAATAATTTCAATAAGCAGGGTGATAAGGAACGGTTAGAAAACCCAATCTCTTTATATTTAATTTTTAAATATATTTCATACCTGGACTCCATTTAAAATCTTTGAATCAATTCAGAGGGCGTTCCTCTTACATAGAGCAATTAATAAAAGATATGGCGATATATTATGGTTATTCAGAATTCCTTCTGGAAAAATTATTTCATTTATTTTCAGTTTCAGAGGTTTCCTATTAAGTTATCGATTAATTTTCTGCAAAAATATGCTATTAGGTTAACAATATTATTTTTTTTTCAAGGCTGTAGAGTTTTTCGAAGCAAATGAAATTTCTAGACCAGTTACTATACGAACGAATACATTACGTACTCGTCGCCGAGATTTAGCTCAAGTATGACTTAATAACTTTTCTCATAAAAAAGCAGCCTTTGATTAAATAATCTTTTTTTTTTATTTTTTTTATAGACCCTAATAAATAGAGGCGCTAATTTAGAACCTATTGGCAAATGGACAAAAGTTGGATTAACTGTATATGACTCTTCAGTGCCAATTGGTATGTTATTTCATAGATTAGAGTTTAAATGATTCCTCAATTGAAGGCCCTGATTTTTTTTTTTAGGTGCAACACCCGAATATCTCGCTGGGCATTATATGCTACAATCTGCTTCCTCATTTTTACCTGTTATGGCTTTAGCTCCTCAAGAAAATGAAAAGATTCTTGATATGGCATCTGCGCCTGGTGGAAAAACCACTTACATAGCTGCACTTATGAAAAACACTGGCATTATATTTGCAAATGATTCCAATAAAGAGAGAATAAAAGGTCTTGTGTCAAATATCCACCGATTAGGTGTTAAGAATGCAGTAGCGTGTAATTATGACGGTCGTGAGTTCCCTACTGTTATGGGTGGATTTGATCGGGTTCTTTTGGATGCACCATGTAGTGGTACCGGTGTTATTTCTAAGGATCCTTCTGTAAAAATAAATAAAGTAAGCAATTTAAAAGTCGACTTTGCTATTGATGTACTGTTAGTCATGTTTTACTAAATATTTTCTATTCTAGACTCACAAAGATTTTATGCTACTACCTCATTTACAAAAAGAGCTCATCTTATCAGCGATTGATTCAGTTGACGCGAAATCATCAACGGGTGGTTATATTGTTTACTCCACATGTTCAGTAACTGTTGACGAAAATGAAGATGTAGTAAATTATGCGCTTAAAAAACGACCTAATGTAAAATTGGTTCCAACTGGTTTAGATTTTGGCCAAGAAGGATTTACAAAGTATTTCATAAAATTCTGTCTATTTTTACTATTTTTTTTTTTGCCTCAAATAATATGAATTATTGGATTAACAAAAATTTACTAGGTACCGTGGAAAAATATTTCACCCTTCATTAAAATTAACGAGGAGATATTATCCTCATGTACATAATATGGATGGATTCTTTGTGTCAAAATTCAAAAAATTCTCAAATCAATACGCTCATACGAATAAAGATGATGCTACAAAGGATAACGAGAATCTTGAAGATAACATTGATCAGAATGATGTTCATTTTAATGATGAAGAAGATCAAAAATATATTCAAGGTATGTCACTTTTCATTATATTTTCTTATACTTATTTGAAAGCCTGGAAATTATAATTATTTAATATTTTAAATAGCATCACTAAGTAAATCAATGAAACGAAAGGGCCTTAACATCCAGAAGGATAATAGTAAACCGCAGGACAACAAAAAACGGTTAAAAGGGTCGGTAGCTGAAAGCTGAAGCTACTAGACTTCTATATCTTGTTTAAAGAATTATTATACTGAAATAATTGCTTAAAAATTAAAAAGTTTTGTAATTTTTTAAAACCAAAAAATATTAATGATACGTATAGAGTATCCTTTATATATAAAATATATTATTTAAAGGAAAAAAACTATTTTTGCACTATGTATATGTAATACGGGGTATTAATAATATATAAATTTATAAACAAAAATTAATTCTGTTTAATATATATTGGGTAAAGGTTAATTTTAGAGCTTAGAAAAAAAAAATAGTTTATACTAAAATTTAGAGAAGAATTTTTTGGTAAAACCCTAAAAGTGATTTTATATAAAGAATAAATGTATACATCACACTATGCGTTGCACTTATATATCGCACCTCTATATGGGGTTGAGTTAATAGAAATCAAGCAAATTTTTTTTAAGTAATTTTTTTTAAACTTTAAACAATAACTTAACAAAAATTTAATCAAATTTAATAACCATTTTTTTTAATAAATTCTACAAACTTATAGAATTTATTTAAAAAAAATTTTATTAAATTTGATCAAGTTTTGGTTAATAAAAACAATTTGCTTGATTTCTATTGACTTACTTCCATATGTATAAACAATAATAATTAATCTGCAATTAATTTTTATATAATAGTTTAAGGTTTATCATTAAAGGTTAGGGTAGGGCATAGTATATAGTAAAATTTTGCAATAAATCTTTTTTATTAAAATATTAAAGGTTATTTCATAACCAAAATTTTAAGATATAAAAAACAATTTATTGTATATCTGATTTTTACTATTACATTATATTGTAAATATACAATTTAATTAATAGAACATTAAAATATGATATATAAACATCTTGTTTAATGTTTTGTCTAATTAAGCCTTATATTGGAGATTGATAAATCACACTATTAGTGTTTAACATTATACTTAATTTTAACCAATCAAATTTGTTAAATCAAAAAATACAATACATAATATACTGTATAATATATATATATTTTTTTATCTTCAAAGGTGAGGCCATGCCTCTATCTTTATTAAAATCCAATTAAAATTTTTTTACAAATAATTAAATAAAGAAATTACATTATTTGAACTTTATATTTATAAGATACTAAGACTAAAGACTCAGACAGAGTCTTTGCTAACTTGAAAGTTATAGGAGTTATCTGTGACTTAAATCTACTAGGATGGTCATAGCTCACCTAGATTTCTAAAGTAATTAAGTTGTATAAGCTATATTAATATTTAATCCACTTTGAATATCATAATTCAAATTTAGTATTTACAATAGTGAAAGGTGTCAATTAATTAAATAGAATTTGTAATATTAAGATTGTAGATAGAATATTAATTGGTATTGTTATAGAACAGTTTATTATTTTATTAGTTATTATTCCGATATTGTATCTTATTATTTATTTTATTATTATTA